GGAACAAATGCAACATGGCATTGATGGAATAGTGCAGAGCTTGCAGACATCTTTCCAGAAACATCCATGTCTTGCTGGAATCCACCATAAAACGGCTTGTAAAGGCAACGTGCTATCTAAGAAACCTCTCCGGTTTTCAGACACAGATGCAAAACAACTGCTCCTAGAATGGAAAAAAAGGGTAAGGTAAGCCTTTAACTATGTTTTGACTAAACACAACCAAGAAAAAATGAATCGGAGAAAAACAATCTTGATCCATAAGGAGCTGCAAAAGCAAACACTGAAGCACATGGGGCTGCAGTTGGGTGGGGAAAGGGGCTGTAAGAAATTTCAAAGATATGTTTGCAGCTCGTTTGTAGGGGAAGGCTGTTGTTTAATCTCTGCCCTAAAAGCTGATCGATGGTCTAACAAATGAAAATTTGTTTCACATTAGAGGCTTGTTCTTTCAAAATGAGAGTTTTAAGTGCACAATGTTCTGCCCTAAAATATTTCAATTCTAGCCTGAATTCCTATGCCAGTGGGGATTATGAGATCATACTGTCTGTCAACTCCTCTTTCGTCCATCTGTTCCCCTCCTCCTTCCCTTGATAACTTTTGAACCTTCAGGCTAATTTTCACCAAATTTGACAAAGCAGAGATAGGATGGAGGCTGCAACGATAATCCGTGGTGAAAACTTCCAGGAAAATTCCATGTCTGAGCAGAAAGAGAAATAAATTATTTCCTGCACTGCCCATTGCCCAAAGGCTGGTCCAGTTGAGCTCTTCACTGTTTTTGAGCAGTGGCTACTGGCCAGCACGCATGTAGCTCCAAACCAGCTACAGGATGAGCATATAGTCCTGCTTGCCCAGCTAAACAGATGGGAATGTAGGTTTTGTGAAAGGCCACGAGGGAGGTGGGACATCATATGAGTGTGAGTCTGCAAAGAGGGAGAGGAACTGGTCACACAGGGAACTGAAGGCATTAGTTGCAGCAATCCAGATAGACAATTTGATAGCCAAAAGACAGACAATCTTTTATCAGATGTGTCTTCTTTCGCCTAAGATGAATTGCTCTCAGGACAGGAGAATTTTAGAAAGTTTTCTAGGTGTTTAAAATTTGCTTTTACTCAGGTATTTTTTACATGAGTAACACTGATATTTATGAAATTTGAAAAAAACCCAATACTGTGAAGCACAAGCCTCCAAAATACTACTGTAGGACAAGTTGATTTTAGTAACTGACTGAACTGAAACAGCATAGTCTTATGAAATAAGCTAGTGAATGCTTTTGTTCCTTCCTCATCGGAAAGACGCAATGAACTTTATCTGCAAGACGATTTGAAAACTTCAGCTAGCCAAAATTGCAGCTGCATATCAGGCTGTAATCTGATGGGGAGGAATTCAACACTACAGCTCTTTTTACCCATGAGAACCCACTGCCAGTTCAGGGTTTAATTTAAAGGTGTCTTGCACAGACCACATTATACCAGAAATCAACATAATGCACTTTGCAGGCCATACAGGTGCTGATTTTGATCTAGAAAACCTCCTGTGAGTTAGTCTTAGCTGTGCTGAGCTGCAAGGTTGCTCGTTTCCCCGTGTTGATTCATTTCAACAATTGCATTAAGTGAGATTAGAGAAGCTGCACATTTAGGACATGTAGTAGGAGGGCTCAGCCACCCACATACAGACTGGGTCAATGTCTCATCAGGGTGAAATATGCAGATAACATTTCTGGATGCAATAAATTATTTCTTTCTAGAATAACTGGCCTTAGAAACCACAAGAAAAAAATGCCATTCTGAATTTAGTCTTCAGCAGTGCAGAGGATCTAATTCAAGAGCTATTAGTGGGTGAGCTGCTCCATAGTGGCAACCGCAATATAATTAAGCTTAACACTGTAAGAAGAGAGCAAGACAAATAAAGCAAACAGATACTCAATTTAAAGAAAATGACCTATGCAAAAATGGGGAAGAATGCCCAAAAACTTAAAATGAGCAGTACAAAAGCAAGAAGCCTACATATACCCAGAAGGCTTAAAAAACAGCGTACTAGAAGCCCAGGTAAAATGTCTGACACAAATAGAAAATGGCGGCCCAAACGTCCCCCCTGCACAACTCAATGAGAAAGTTAAGGAGGCTATCACGAGGCAAATAAGGAAGCCCAGAAAAACGTGGCACGCAAAGCGTAAACAGGAAATGAAGACGGCTAAACTCGAGGAGCGGCTGATAAAGGATGCTCAAAGCCTTAATTTACATGATGCTCGACCCAGAACCAGTCCTCACAATGCAGAAGAGGTCCCGCAACCATTGCTGAGAGCTTTCTGGTGGCTCCGTGGGCACCAGCAGCCGAAGAGCCAAGAAAACAGGGAGCATCGTAAGGAAAGGTATTAGAAAGAAGGGTTTTGTAGAAAACCTTGAGGTCCGTGTGCAGTCTCATCTCGGCACCTCAAGCAAGGTGCGGCGATGGTACAGAAGAGGGCAACTGAAATCGTTGAGGGAATGGAGCGCTTGCTTTAGAGGCCAAATTTTGGAGCTCTCCAAACTGGGGAAGAGAAAGCTGGAGGGCGATGTACTGGGGGTTTCTAAATTGCTATGAAGGCCACAGGTAAATGCACAGGTGGTATTCACCAAATCCTGCAATGCTAGAGCTGGGGGTCATTTGATGGGATTAGGGGAGGGTTAAAAAACAACTAAGAAAGTGCTTTTTTAAGCAGCAGCTAGTGACATTTTGGAATTTGTTGCCTTGAGAAGTTTTGGGGAGTTATGAGCAGGTTCAAAAAGGCATTAGGCAAATTCATGGACATAAAGTCCATGAAAAAATACTAAAAGGACTAAGCAGGGATGAATCACGAACACAGCAACTGTGGACAGAGGACTGGTAGAAGCGGCCACCATTAGCCCCGTCTCTCAGCTTCGGGGAGGCTGGTGGCCACACGCGTCTGAGTCCCGGTTTTGGTCCAAGCTGAGCAATGTCAAATCGTAGTCAGGTCTCCCCCATCCTCTCCCTCCCGGGAGCAACGGGCCCCAGAAAAATGACAGGCTACGACGGAGGGGAGCGGAGGGAACCGAACGGCGCCTCAGCCGACCGGCCCTGAGGTGAGGGACGGCCCCTGAGGTGAGGGACGGCCCCGCCGCCCAGACCCCGCCCCCGCTCCCTGTGGAGCCGCGTGACGTCACTGGTCAGCGGGCCGGCGCCGGCCAACCCCCTCCTTCCCCCCCTCGCCGCGCAGGCCCCCCTCGTCCCCCGTTAGCGCGAGGCGGGGGCCTCTGCGGGAGGAGGGAGGGGCGAGGAGCACGCGCGCAGGCGCAGTCGGCGGCTGGGCGGCCCTGGGCGGCGGGGAGGCCGCGCGAGAGTAGCGCGTGGCGGGCGTTTCGAGCCGTTGGCGCCCTAACGGCCGGCGGCCCCGCCCCCCTTCGCGCGGGGCTCGGGCCCGGCTCCTTCTCCCTGGGGCGGGGACGCTGCCGACGCGCTTCCTCTGTCTTCCCGCCATTTTCTGCGTCTCTCTCCCCCTCCCCTCCCCTCCGAGCGGTGGCTGAGGCAGAGCGCTGTGGTGAGTATCGGGCGGTGTGGGGTAGGGGCTCGCCCGCGCCGGGGGGTGGAGGGGACAGCCTCTCCCCTCCGTCTCCTCGTCCTGCCCTGTCCTGCTCCGGGGCGGCTCTTGGCCGAGACCCCTTTGGGGGGCTGCAGGCAGCAGCCGCCCCGGAGTTGGGACTTGGCCGGCGGGCGTTTGGGCTCCTCGGCGCTGGGAGGAAGCCCCCGAGGGCCCCGCTCGGGCGGGCGGGGCGGGATGTGGTGGTCGGGCGTCCCCGCGCTGCGGACGGGGATGGCGGGTGGCTCCCTCAGGGGTCCCAGGATGCTGTCGGTGGTGTCTGATGGCGGCTTGAGCGGCAGCGTCAGCGTGCCTTAATGGCCTGCGCACACGTACATAAAGCTATGTGCGCTCCCTTTTATTTATTTATTTTGGCGACAGCCCTTTTTTAGCATGGAAGGCAGAGGGCAGTTGGAAGGCTGCCTTGTGACATGAAATTTGCATAACAAAGTCTATTCCTTATATAATCTGTAACTCTAAGCTAAATCAAATACACACAGAATTTTAAAAGGATATGCTTACTTGTTCAGCATACATGCCCTCCAGGCCGGCTGGCAAAGCCAGGTGTTCTGGTGGAATGTATGTTTTAGAAACAAAGTATTAAGTAATGCTAAACTAAAGCCAAAACAAACAAACCCTGGGTATTACCAGAGTATTGCAGACAAGGCCTCCTGACTTTATTGATAATTTGTCCTATTTGCTGTCTGTTGCACACACTTTAGGATCCCAAAGCTGATTGTTTGCTGGGAAACAGCGAAACAGCAAACTCCTTTTTCTTGTAACTTTGAAGTTGTGACTATTTTCACAGGAGTATTTACACTGATCTTAATTTTATTTTTTTATAATCCGTCAAAAATACATCATTATGTTGAGATATTTTTATGTTAAAGGATTTCTTGTTCCATTTTCAGAGGAAACTTTAAGGTTTAGAGGACAAGATTCTGCTTGCTGCTGAAGTAAAAAAATATAAGCAAGATCTTGAAGTGCAGTGTAACATCACTGTAGTTTTGTTTTTAGGACAAGCTGAAAGCTCCTCTCATTTTGGAAGAGTTAAAATGATTGTGGGTGGGTTTTTTGTTTAATGTGAGGAAAACTGTACAAGTAAATCATTTTTGCAGGCCAATGAAGTACTCAATATTTATACCTGTTGCTTTTAAATTAATAGTAGTATTCTATTTTATTAGTAAATTTATGTGAATTAAGGAAAAACGTGGTTGCAAAGATAAGGGATTTAATTGGTGTAAAAATACGTATCCTGATTTGGTGAACAAAATATATTAATATATCCCTGAAATAAAAATTGTTTTCTAGTCTTTGAATAGCCACTCTAATCCAGAACAGCATTCAGTTTTCTGGTGTGATCTGACATTTCCTTTTTCCTGTGCAGACTCTTTTTGTTAAAATACAGAATATTCATTTAAAATGACAAAAAAATTACAACTGGAATAATACCCCAGATTTTTTTCATGTATTTGGATCTTTTCTGCTTACAAAAAATATTTTAACCATGAGCTGTGGAAATGATTTTGTGGAAACTCTTAAGAAAATTGGATATCCAAAAGCTGATGAGCTTAATGGAGAAGATTTTGATTGGTTGTTTGAGTCTTTGGAAGACAATTCATTTCTGGAGTGGTTTTGTGGAAATGTAAATGAACAGCATGTGGTATCTGAAAAAGAACTGCAAGATTTTGATAATCTTCTTCAGTCTGGTAAGCCCATTTTGGAAGGAAATGCACTGGATGAAGTCCTTAAAACCTTGAAGCCCATGGATTCAAAGAACAGTAGCCAAGAGGAGGAGGAGGAACTGAAGAAATTAGAGGATGAGCTTCAAACTCTTCAGAAGTTAAAGAAACTTCAAATTCATCGGCATAATAAGCTTCAAATGATGGTTTCTGCAAACAGCCATATGTTACAAACATTAAAAAGCAGAGAGGAAGCAGCACATAAAGATTTGAAAGAAGGACTGGAAGTGTTTACTGCAGCAAATACTAAGCTTAATAATGAACTGCTGTCTCTTACGGATGCAGCTAAGAAATTGGCCTCTTTCTTCACTGCTTCAGATTCAGAACAAGGGCCAGGCCTACATCCAGTGTTTTTTTCCCAACTTTCTTTGGACAAGTATTTGTCTCAGGAAGAACGAAGCACTGCAGCACTTACCTCATACATAAAAAAACATTTTTATCAAGGTATGTCTGAATGGGTTGAAAATTCACATGAAGGCAGCTTTCAGCTTGCGGATATAAGCAGGGAAGTTGCTTGTGACAAGACTAATGAAGTTTGCGAAGATAGTCAAGAGATGGCCAGGCTCCAGACAGCATATATTTGTGCTCAACATCAGCTAATTCAGATGCAAGCTAAAGAGCAGAGCATGAATTTGGCTATAAAATGTGCAGAAAGCATGCTGCAGTCCTTAGACAACAAGGTAAGCCACAAAAGGTAGAAGGTAGTGGAGTTTTAAACAGGCAGGTGTGTTCAACTGGATCTAGTAAAAGGAATTGCTGAGTTATTGTTATTTCAACTATTTTTACATAGAGAAATTGTACTTTTATGAAGTTTTAGTCTTGCTCAGAAAACTCCTTTTGTGAAGTAGCTCCAGTTTTTATAGTTAGAAACTCTTCAGTATGGCAGAGTATCTTTAATTCTACTTTCCAGAGTTACTACCTTAAAAAACCTGGAACTTAGTAGTACCTTTCTAGTTTAGTTTAACTTTGAAATTTCGAATTATAACTGGCTCTTAGATCTTTGTATAACAAAAAAAGCTTAACTTCAGTTGAAATTTTGTGGTATTGAGGAGCTAATATGATAAATGTATTCCTGTTTATATTCTGTAGCATAACCTTAAAGTTTTAGTTCACTGACTCTTTTGAAACTCAAGTATTTGTAAATGAATCTGATAGTTGAAGCCCCAGAAATCTCTTAACAAGTGAGTGACAGGCAGATATGGCTACTAGAATTTAAGAATGTGAAGAAATCATAACAGAAGGAAAAATAATAGCTTATGCCAGTCATGGAATAACTTGCGGCATCATGTCAGTTTGTATATTTTCGTTTATGGATGACTAGCATATACGACTTGATTGATTAGAGTCATTTGAAAAAGATTGATTCTGATAGCAGTGTTGATAGTCATCTGATTGAATATATAAAATTATGTTTGCATGTGAGATTTCAGTTAGACATGCTTGAAAGCTGGTTGCTGAGGAAAATACAGCTCTTCTATTTTTAACATGATAAACTGTTTCCTGGCCCTGCAATAGAATGAAATTACTATTTATTCAGACATGTTTATTTGATATCTAGTTGTAAATCTGTGTTTGCCTTATGTTGTAAACTTCTGTAAAACTGCTTGTGGAGTTTTCATTTAATTTTGTAGATACAAAAGATGCAGTGATTTTAATATACCATATATATGTGAATCTTGTGTGAACTGAAGAAATGTGTTAGGGAAGTGGCTTGGAGGAGACCATGAAGAAATTGACAAATACTTTGTTTTATGCAGGATATTGGAAAACAAGAAAACCTTGATGCTAAAATATCTAGTTTAAATTATGAAATTTCAACAATTAAACAAGATATAACTCAGATAAACAATGAAGAACTCCTTCCCCTTCTGAAAGAGAATGCACGACTTTTGAGTGCGCCAGTGGTGAAAGCTTACCTGGATCATCAGATTGCTCAGCAGGACCATTATGCTTCAGGTCAAGATGAAATATGCAGGCATTTGGTAAGACAGAAAGCATCATTTGAACTTATTGAGCTAGCCCATGAAATGGAGTTGAAGAAACATAAGGAGATCTGCTGTCGACTTGAGAATTTGGTAGAATCTCTGAAACAGAGCAATGATGAGTTGCAACAGAGACTACAGGTGATAACTGAGCGAACTCAACATGCGAAGCCAAGAAACATTATTAGTTCAAAAGATGGTTTCTCTTGCAGGTAAGTGTTATAGTCACTATTGAACTTTGACTTACTTTGAGATAATACTGGGGAGATAAAGGCTTAGTTTGCCTAAGCCTTTTCTATTGCTAAGTTCTTAGTTACTCACTATAGCTAGTTAGTATTTTGAATTCTCCAGAACTGAAGCCTTCACGATAGGAGACTTGCCTCTTGCTTATCCTTTGAAATTCTTTTCAGGTTTGCCTGAGGAAAAACTGTTCAGTTATCCATCTTGTTAATATTGCTGAAGCATTCCTAAGCAATATCCAGAATATAATGAAAGTTTAAAGCCAAACCTGTCTTACGGTGCCCTGATCTAGGACCTCTTGAAAGTTATTCTAGAACTATAGATGTAAAGAGCTGTTGGTAACAGTGGTTTGCCGGGTCATGTGCATGGCCTCATCAGCTTAGCCTGCAAAATCCCCCGTGTGGTAGAGAAGAGGAATGACTCCTTCAATATATGAAACATGTTTAGCTCATTTTTACTGCTTGATTTGCCATTTGCTTCAGTGTTTTGTCACTCATGTAGAGGTGTGGTTTTGTAGCTCAGATGATACAGTAGGAATGTGTGCTGTGTTGGCTGTCACTTCAAGACTCTACACCTTTTGATGAGGTGTATTGTATACTTATAGATGTGTTAATGTCAGACTTTTTCTCCTTCCTCAAAATGGTGCTTTAAGTGTTTTTTAATAATTGTTAAGTGGTAGCTGAGTATGGTGTTGCACAATGAATAACTGCAAGAATTAGGCAGTGTTAATTTCACTCCTGTTGTGTATTTACATTGGCAACTTGTAACATTTTTAAACTCAGTTACTTTTGACATATAGCTCTTCCTCTTATTAAAGCCAATCTGATTCTATATTGGGGCTCAATGAAAGTTTTTAATATGCAGAGGTGGTAGTAGCAACTGAGCAAAGTTATCTGTAATTGTATGAGATTCTTCCTGATGGGGTGTAAGGGTACAGTTTGGTACAGTAGGTATTGCTGCCTTTTGCATGACTCGTAACTAATTGGAGAATTCTTAGCAGTCTCTTCATAGATAGAAAATGGGAAATACTCCAGTAAGCTTGAAAAGGTTATAAAGATTGCTCTTACTTCTCATTGGTCATTGAAGTCTGCTGTTTTTCAGCACTTAAAAAAAAAAAAATTGTATCTTACTTTGCAGCCCTTGAAATGTTGGGAAATAGTTGGCAAAAGCACATTGTCCAATTCTATTTGCATTCATTGTGTACTTGCTAACTGTTACTTTAGTATTTCATTGCTGTTAATTTAATATTGAAATATTTTGGAGTCCTGTTAATCACATACCAGCTATATATGGATAGAATCACAAGATCAGTGGGAGATACAGTAGTGTAGTAAGAGTACCCTGAGCAGTACTGTCCTTTACTAGTCCTCGGACTTCTCAACATGAACATCTTCTCTTGATTAATAATAACAGGAGTGCTTAGGAAACTTAAAAATGCTTGTGTGTCTAACTTCATTTGTTACAGGCTATATCAGCTTCTGGAAGGAGAAAATAAAAAGCAACAATTGTTTAAAACATACGAAAGCCTGGAGCAGATGGCTCAGAAGTTAAAGCAGGACTGTGCTACAGTACAAGATCAGATAGCAGCATCTTCTCAAGAACAGTCTCTCCTTTTGTCCAAGCTAAAAAGTGATGTAGATAGCCTTCATGATGTTCTGTATTGTGGAGGAAATCAAATACAGCTCAGTAGTCGGGTAAGCCCTTATCTGGTTATTAAAATTATTGCATTAACCTGTGTCATTTTTTTACTGAGAGAAATGTCGTATGAAGGCTGTAGACACACAAACTAGCTCCCACATCAGCAACAGATTTATTAGCATAATGATGATGGGCTCAGTATTTACATTGTTCTTAGCAAATGTTAGATTTTATAAATGTTGGCAGGTGATAATTTTTTGTTTCTGAGCAAGTCATTGCATCTAACCTTTCATTTCTTTCAAAGGCATATATAGTCGTGTATTACTAGTAAGTTTATGGTGTGGGAAATATGTCATTTGGATATGGTGTCACTGGAAAATTTGCTTAAATTTCCCTTTATTTCAGACGGGTTTTTTTCCCCGTTACCTGTAATACCTGAATAGTACAGTTTGGCCCCTTAAAAAGCCTGGCCATGGGTGGCTCACTTGGACAAAATAAGAATATCAGAATTTTGAAGGACAGTCGTAGTAAGACAGTCCTGCTACAGAGCTCCCAGGTGTTGGGTTTAGAGCCTCTTTTAAATGGGAATAGAGATCGTAAAATGCAATTTGTTATACTTATAAAATAATTGTAGGTATCTCAAAAGTGGATTGAGGGATGTCTTCTGTTACATAATACTTCCTTGGTTAACTACATGAAAATATATTTAACACTTCCATCCGTGAAGTGAATTTGCAACATACAGAACAGTTTTTAATAAAAATGAAACTTTGTAATTGGAACAATATGTATTTAGGGATTACACGTTATTAAATCAATCAAATACCTTGCTGTTGATTCCAGTTACCTCTTAAACCATAGTGACATCTCTTTCTATTGCTACTGTTTATGAAGAAAAGTAATTCCTTTAATAAGGAAATAATGTGCAAGTAGATGACTGGCCTGCTTACACTGAACTATGATAGGAATGATAGTTGGGAAGATTGTAGCTGGTAATTAATGATTTAATTTTAAAATTAAATTGGCTTTGTTGTGGTGTTTTTTTCCCTTTTAAGATTTGACTAGATACAAAAACTTGTAATTGAGTGAAAATGTCATTCAACCGTCTATCTCATTGAGGGCTAGATTTTTATGTTCTTAACTCATCTGGTTTAGTAAACAAGTAAATGAAATTACATTTTCATAACCTGATGCAAGTACCATTACAGGGAGCTCAAAAGTTACATAGATGGAATGGAGTCACTTATCACCTGTGTTTCTATTCAAAAGAAACTGGCTTCCAAAAGCAAAAAACTTTTATGTTTCTAGTTCAGCTAGTGTATTAACAATATAAAGGTAATAATTTTTTGTCTTGTATTTTTTGTTAGGAACTTACTGAGCAGTTTCATCAACTGGAAGTTGATTTAAATAAACTAAATCAACTCCTTATGGATTTGATTGCTGACGTGAAGTCAAAGAGAAACTTTTTAGAGTCCAATAAGCTGCATCAGATGGAAAGAAATTTGTATGTGTATTTTTTCAAAGACGAAGACCGCTTGAAAGAGATGGTGGAAGAGCTTGAGCAGCAGTCTGAAGCTAAAGCTAGCGGTCTGGAAGATTCGAATTTCACCACCAGTGGAGTTCTTAATGTTTAAACTTCAGTGTACTTTTAAGAAAGGAAAGCATGTTAATGTAAACTGTCTACAGGTTTATGGAATGATAAGTATTAGCTGATCAAGGCTAACATTTATCTATCATTGCAATGTTATGTTTAGCTGCCACGATTACCAAGTTTGGACTGTATGCTGTTTTATGGCTTTTGGCATCTGCCCGGCAAGTTCAAATCTCAGTTTTTGTCAAAGTTCTTTGATATGAAGTAATATGTTGGTTATTTGAATGAATTACATTCAGGCTGCTCTTCTGCTAGCCTGTATGTTGAGTTCCACTGCACACAGCATAGCACAAAGAGGAACATTTCCTACCCTTGAGATAAGTTTTCTTGCATGCTAAGAACCTTTGATACGTGAACTGAAAAATAAATGTGGAGAAGGCATTCCAGATTTTGGAACATGAATGTAATGTGTTCCTTCTGAAGAGGAGAGTTCTCCAAGGCAGATATTCCGTGATTGTTTCCCTTAGAGTTCTCCAAAGAAGATTTGATTTTGTTAAAAATGCATTGGAATATGTACCAGAATCTGTCTCACGTATGAAGAACATCTGTTTTAAGACCATTCTGGTATCTCTTAATTTAACTTGCAGCCTATCTTCTCCGTTGAAACCAGTCTATACTTACACTGCGCTCTTCAAAGAAAAAGAATTTTAAATTTACTCTTTGGACTTCTGAGTTTGCTCTATTATTTATAATGATAGGCGTTTCAATTCAGAGTCCTGATGCTTTCATACTTCTGCTTTCATATCTATTGTTAGACAGTTTATCAAATTTTTATATAGCTTCCTAATACACCAATGGAACTAAATAGGCTTTTATAGTATGATAACGTCCAGTCTTTTATGTTTTGATGGGATCGTCTGTGCTTCCTTTCAAGCATTGTACATATTGATGAAGGTTAATAAATTAGCTTTAACTTCAGTAACAGTAGTGTTAAAACTATTTTAATGGCAGACTTTTAACTTACGTGAGTATAACTTATTTTTAGATGTTTAAATTTTTTTTAACTTACTGATTGGATGTCATTATATCTGGATTTCATGCTGCTTAACTCTATACTTTGTGTTTATTATTAAATGCCAAACACTGTAAATTCAGTTCAGTGTTGTCAGTATTTATGGTGAATCTGTGTGTTGGTTTTGGGTGTATTCTCATGCATAGTGTCTTGTTTATATCTAGTCTTCTAGGTTCTCATTTTGATATGCCCCTGAGGCTTTAAGGCTGCTGCTTCCCACATTGAGAAGTCAGGGAGTGTTTTTGCCCTGTGTACGAAAGAAGCGTTACTCTTAATTATAAAAGTTAGGAGGAGTTGTGCATGGAGAAAGCTTATACTTCTGACTCCTGGAATATCAGGGAAAAGAAAGCCATTCTGCCTCTCTCTCCCTTTTGCATGCTTACTATAGAATTTGAGCTAGATAGGTGTAGCCAATACTAATGCAGCCTGATGGATGTTCCTCTTTGAATCTGGACACAAATTTTTGTACTTGTAAGTATTCAAACTTGCAATCTGCCTATGGTGTTGAGCTAAGAAAAATATTTCCATCTAAGCGGAGGAAATGAGTTTAACCATCAAGTAAACAATGACTTGAAAGTCTACTCATGCATTGGATTTAGTGGAAGAAGACCAGAGTAACAGGACTCCAGTTACTACCTTGCGTAGGAATAATTTATTTAACACCAGTTTTTGGTAGAGCAATTGACTTGTACAGCTTGAATCCTTTTAAGTGTTTTGAAAATGTTGGTTATTTATCTTGTGTTTGTGTAAGTTTTATGCATTGTTCTGGTCTCACTACATAAAGTCAACAAAGGCATCAGTATGGACACCATTGTTTATAATTCTCCCATATGCATTGTATCTAGGGGTTCCCCAAGTATTTTGTACGTATTATAGAATATGGCTACAGGTCAACTTGAAAAGCATCTGCTTTTCAAAAAGGGATAAAATTTAGAACAGCAATATTGTGCAGTCAAAGCTTGTTGAGACTTTAGATGTTGTTGACCTGTTTCTTAAATTGACAAACTATACTATTTTAATGTTATTAGTATTTAATAGTACTTGAGTACATCAATTATACAAAGTTTAAGGAGTAAAGGTCTTATGTATTTTCTGAAACAACACGTCACTAATGTTTGTATATCATGATAGTAATACTTGTTTCTTCCATCTTGTGTTGGCACTATTTTGGTAGTTACTTGAAAGGGTTTTTTCTTGATAAAATCTGAGCACCAGTAACAGTAAATGTATGCATATGCTAGATACAGCCTAGTTTAAAGATGTTGAGGGAGGAAGTATTTCAGACATAAAGGATAATTCTTGTTTTATTTGTCAGATTTTTTATTAGAAGTCAGCTTTACTTAGTAGGACTGCTTAATTTTTTATTATTGTATTAAAACACTATTTCAAAGAAGTTTCACTTAGTGGGTTTTGTAAATTACTACAATTCGCTAATTTTTATTTACAATACTTTGATAGGCATGTCAGGAAGGAAATTTAATTTTCTGTCCAGAATGAATGGCTCAACATGTTCACTATATTTTGTTTTTAATTTCAACAGAATCGTAAGTGCCGATTGTTCTGTGGCTCTGATATGCACAATTTGTGTGTGTTCTTTGTTTAGGTTTAATCTTAAAAATGGAACGGTACACATCATACATAGGATGTGAGGCTTCTAAAGTACCTTTATCTGATATCGCTCAGAGGATTATGACAGCTTTGCAGTCTATTCCTGTAGAAGTTCAGACTAGCAGAAAGAATTACCAGAGTGAGTAAATCTTAGCATATTTAAGTGTTTCTATTTTCAGTTGAAAAACTGAAACCCAAACAAACAAAACAATATCAAACCTCTAGTCCCTCTTTAAAAAGGAAAAAAAGATGAGAGTTTAGGTTTCCAGGTTTAGAAAAGGAATTAAGCTGTAACTCTGACATTTGCTGGGACTTTTCAGATTAAATAACGCTATGTGAGTGCAAGGAACTAGGATATTACCAGTACCCTCAATTTCATTGTGGTTTTTTTTTTTTTTTATTTCCTGTTCCTGCTATGTAATATACAAGTAGATGAGAATTTCAAACTAATTAACCAGTACTGTGAATTAAATGTATATGTTAACTTGACTCTGGACTGGTTATTTATTTAAAGATCACTAGAGGTACTGGGAATTTGCCAGAAGGCCTGTGAACTCTCCAGACTCAAGTCTGTCCTTTAAACACATGTTCATTAGCAACTCACTTCTTGTGAAATTCTAGGGGGAAAAGTGAAAAGTCCCAGTGGTAGAGCAAATTAGGTAATGTTAAAAGTGCCTCAGCAGATCTTTGTCTGTTGAGCAAATCTTAACTCAATGTTGTGGATACCAGGGAGGTTTTGCAAGATGGAGTTTTTATTATTAATTCTGTGCATTTCATAGTTTGCCAGTCTTGTAGCTCTGTAAAGAAGCAGATAACGGAGTTTTGCTCAATTTCAGTTGTCTGTTTTTTCCCTGAGAACTAGATCCTGGAACATTATCTGGTTGATGGGATTGAAATCTAGCATTTGTTGAGTGCGTGGTGTTTGTTGCAGCCTCGGTTTTATGTAAATAACAGTTTAGGCTCTTCTTTCAGTAGTAACGTATTGGATCAGTGGAGCCTTATGGTGTAGCCATAAAAAGGGTAGTAGTTCATTGCTGTGTAAATCATTGATTCACATTTGAAGAAATATGGAATGGGTTCATTCTAAAATGGTACATTTGGACCAAACCCCAGATTATTTTAAAGAAAATCAGATCTCTTTTCTGCCTCGGTTTAATTGCCATTCTACTTCTCTTGCTACCTTGTCATTTTCCCTTCCTTAATTTTCCTGTGTAATGTCTTTTGTCTTAGACTGGGGAACTCTGTACTGTGCAATATATGTATCATGTTGTCCACTCTTGATCCATTCACTCTCTGTCAAGCTGTAAAATTACAGATTCTCTTTTTTTTTAAAAACACCATGAAGGTACCTGGTATCTTTAGCCAAATGACCTTGCTGTCGTCTTCGTAGTGCTGCTAAATCCTTATTCACTGGGGAGTGAAAGAGCAGTATAAGCATTAGTGGTGGCAGGTCACGTGACTTGCTTTTCTTGCTCTTGTTTTCCATGTAGTAATTACTCACAATTTTTTCTAGTGTACAGGCTTAAGAACAAATTTATTTGAATTGCTTTTAGGAAATTGCCGGTATATATAGCCTTAGCTGGTTAGGGTGGATCTGCAGAGAGGAAAAAGTTTGCCTCCCTTAAAAAAACCAAACCCCAAACCTGTCATGTTTGTTGGTCTGTTTCAAACTGTATTGAACTGTACTTTAGTAATAGAACTCTAAAGATTAAATTGTACTTAATGGAAAAACTGGTTGTCTTTAGAAGGTAAATACTGGGTTCAAATAGGACAGATATCTGCGATGTTGAATTAGTAGGTGAAATTCTGTGGTTATCCTGGCAGCAGAACTTGTAATGGTTCTATCTAGCCTTAAGGAGTTTGAAGGCAAGGATGGGTTTCTACTGCCATCTGGTGATACTTTTTCATAAACCAGCAATTTGAGGTTGCATAGCTCTTTACATAGCTGTCACTGTGTGCTGAAGGAGAGAAATGTAATCCTCATCATCATCTCTGAAGGGTGAATTTGACAAGAAAAAGTATCTAGCTGTGAACAATTAAAAGCACTAAATGTAAACTCAGTTACTGTCATTCTTAAATTATAATTCTATTGTTGTAGGAAGTGTCAAGCAAATAATACCTAAAATGTTTGAAGCTACGAATAGAGCTATGTCATATTTGCTATTGTAACAGCTTAGGTTAGAAGTCTGAGCTGGAGATAAGTAACCGATTATAGACATACACCAACATGAATCTGCATGTAATACTGTGAAGTAATAAGCTTAGTTTCTTCTGGAGACTAAGCTAGTTAGTCTTTGAAAATGCATTTTTAGTATTTTAAGTACAGGGTCCTGGTTTGCCTAGACAAAATTTTTTTAAAACAGTTTCAGTAAATAGAAATAGATCACCTTATGCTTTGTTTGACATTGGTCATCAGCACATTAGATTCAGAAAGTGTCCTGCTGCTGGTAATGCAAATTTCATAGTTAAATAACAGCAACGGAGCATTGTACTCGGTATAGACCAGGAGTTAGAAGGGGACAAAATACATATTTGGCCCATGAGGTGTCTTTTGGCTGGGCAGTAAAAGAATCTAGAGATAAAGGAATGCTAACTAATTGCAAACTCTGGAGAGACCTGTGCTTCAGTGGAGTTCTCTTTTTCCCTGTTCCTCTTCCTGTTTCCCTACAAACCTACTGATTTTGTAATTATTGCTAGCCTGTTGCCCCTTGTTCTTTTATTCCAGTCTTCTCTTACTTCTCCTGTTGGGGCTACTGGGCAGTATAGAGGGCAGAAAAGAGAAGGTATGTCCTAACTGTTTCATTTAGCTTGGTGCAGAGTCCTGAGGTGCATTTACAAAACCTTCCTTAAACTGCAGTATCTGTCTGCTTTCAGAGCTGTAGGCAAATACCACTGGTAGTTCAGTGGTGGGCCCCGGCTAATGGCTCTGGGCCTGGTTAGTGGTACAGAGCTCTGTCTTAGACCCAGCACTGACAGCCATCCTGCTTCTTGTGGTGCTTCTCATTATCTTACCTTTCTGTCAATTTGATAGGTCTGACTTCTCCTTGCTATCTCTTCTTGTCTGGTCTTCCAATACCTGTTCTATCATGAGGATGAACAATGTGAAAAAACCTCTGCAGATGAAGCATGGTCAGTTGTCTGTAGGGCATGATATGCTAAAGCTGTATATGCAAATAGTGTTTTACTGAAGAAAATTATTGTGGAATAATACTGCCTAATTCCAAGAAAACAGTTAAACTGTGTGAAGTGTGTGGAGTTCGGGGTTTTTTTGTTTTGTTTGTGTTTGTTTTTTTTTTAATTCTCACCCATGCCCCCAGCTTTATTTTGACCAAGATGGGATGTGTTTTCATGAAAGAAGGAAATATGCATATTTATGGTATTATAGTAATGCCTCTTCTGAATACCATGCAAAATGTTTGTCTGCTTTTTAGCAAAT